TTATATTATAGTTTAGAAAGCATATTATTTTCAAAGTGAATTGAGGTAACCTTTAAAACTGATGCTGTATTGCCGAAGAAAAGCAACTGAAATTTTTTCGTAGGCTTTACAAAAAGCTGCAGTAATGTTGACTTTAAATAATATTGAAAACCTGTGTCATTACTCTTTTTTTGGTTTCAAGTTATTCAAAAAATGTTCACGTCCATTTAACTCTGAAATAGACATTAGTTTCATTGGTTTGTTAATCTCCGATGTATCAAGAAAGTTCAAGTCTACGAGTCTGGAAAAAAAACACAATCAACTCTTAAAGTTTCTTTGAAAACACAGAACTGTGATGTGGTTTTTATCCAGTCAATGGAAAACAAATATATACTTAGCTAGCACTATGGACCCTTCCAGAATGGCCATCCGTTGATGCCTGTATACTATTCGTTTCGAACTCTATATGATTGTGTAGTTTTCGCAGTATTCGTGAATTTACGCGATTGTTAGTGATATTCAATAAAAAAAAACTTCAAGATGCCAAGGAAAAACACGCTAAACTGAATAAATCAATTTTAGAAATCCAGTATACTAATATTGGAAATGATTATGTTTCTAATTCATGAATAAAATCTATTGCTTTGTATTATGTTAAAGTAAGTACAATAGAACATAAATGCTCAATTGATTGAGAAAGAATCAAGTTTTTTAGATTTATTTTTGATAATTTTGTATAAATTCTTCTGCTTTTCGTAATACATTTTGCATTTCATTATGTTTAACTAAATGACATGCATCTTGTAAATTTGACCAAATTAAATTTTGATGTTCATTAGATAGCTTAATAGTTTGCTGAGCATTTTGTATGCGAGCTAAATAATAAAATACATCTTTTGGTCGTCCATTAACATCATAAGTAATTTTCTCTTCAAATTTATTATAATATTCTAAATCATTTTTATCTATACCAGCTTCTTCTTTTGTTTCACGTTGAGCTGCTTGCAACGGAGATTCACCTTTGTCCAAATGACCTGAAATATAACTTATCAATCACTACAAAATGGACATATGCAATGATATTCAAAAGATCAGACATAAACCGAAAAAATATCGTGATTGCTTTTCTATATTATCTTTTCTTGAGAAACTATTACTCATCGACAGCGAATTCTGAACTTCAGAGAACGCCTCACATACTTGTGATTAATGAAAACAATTATTGATATCAATCATGAGTTTTATTATTTCTTGAATAGCACGATCTTTCTCAATTTACATTTAACCTATTTTACCTTTTGGTGGTGTCCAATGATGTTTACCATAAGATGTTTGTAATAATAAATATTCAATAGGATTTTGTTCCAATCGTCGGAATATAATAAATCCTGCAGCTATGCGTTTACTCATATCTAATTAAATAATCTAAGGATTTTTTACACCTTCAATATTACAAAACTGTTAACAACAAGCAAAAACAATATTTATTTTAAGAAATAAAAGATGAGTTTAATAAAGCCATAAAGTGAAATAAAATCGAACGCATACACACACACACACGCAAAAAAGGATGAAACTAAAGAAAAAAATAATAAAAAAATGAACTTTTGCATGATAATTTTTGCGAGAAAAAACCGTGGGAAATACAATCTATATATATATATATCTCGGTCAATATTCATTTAATCAATTTTCACAGCAGCATAAATTTTCCTAACAAAGATGTATGATGCAATAAAGCCGATTGTACCAGTAAGGATCCAAAATGTAAAACAGATCAATAATGTATAACCAAAATAAAGCATTAATGGAACAAATTCGGTTATATCGAGCTTAAACAGAAGAATATTTGTTAATTACGAAAAAAGAAATATCAACCTAACACGACCCTTTGTTGTTCATACTGATCCAAATGGTTAAGCACTTTGAACTATATCTATCTAGTCTTTTTTATCGTAGCC